GGTCGCGAAGGGTAGAAGGGCATCCGGGGAAGAGTGGTATATCGATCTGAAACAAGAGAAATCGGCTCGTGAGCGTTTCCGGTGACTTCGCAGTTTCGGTTGATAGGCGAACGCAAAAAGCGACGCGCAGCAGCGGGAAAAGACAAAAGAAGCGAAATTGGTCAGCGGGGGCGCGGCGGGAGGGATGGAAGGAGAGGGTACGAGATAGAGGACGTCAGGTATACGAAGGTCGTTAGCTGGAAGAAAAATTAGCCGTTTGTCGGAGGCCCTGCCCTGGAGATGGGTCAATCAGATATGAAAACACTTGTCGGTCATTGTGGCCCGTTCCAAGGCATTGTAGCTCGGCGAAGGTAACAGGCCACTACAAAAGATTATAGACACAGGTATACGGTTCTAATGACTACGCCAGGAATTCAAACCTTCTTCGGAACGATGTGAGCGGGTAAGTGGAAGGGGGGGGGGAAAGCGGGCTTCCACATGTCATTTCGGAGTCGGAACGTAAAAATGCGTGTGTGATCCACGCTTGCCTGCATCGACGGGGGTTCGATATTCATTCAGTTTCTCCTCTAATGAGGACTCAGGATTAGCTTGTAACAATATTCCATATTGCGTATAGAGATATTTCACTTATCGAACATATTTTCGATAACGATACAAATGAAGCAACGGAGGAATAACCAAAGACAATGACGATATTTAAGTATTTATCATATTCGAAGATATTTTAACTGGCGTAATAGTATCAGTTTGGAATACTGTTATTTTAGAACACAGATACAGAACACAGATTACAACTGGATTCTTGTTTCTTGAAAGTTTTAAATATTTTTTTAAAAACATTATAAAGTCTCAAAGTGTTCAGATTAATCTTTTGTTTATTAGACATTGCAATCAATTATAACATTATGAAAATTATTGGTTGTTATTATATTGTTGATTATTTATATATAATTTATAATGAAAAACGAAGTTTATTGAGTTTGCAACATGGGTTTTTCTTTTTAAAACTTAATCTTCGATTGGAAGTCGAAGAATGTTGTTGCAATTTTCACGGTGAAAATCGATGATTCATCCCGTTCAGTTATTTCTTAAACTTAACACAAGTTTCTCGTGTTGTAAGCACTACCGGTGGTCAAAACCTTTCTGGAATTTAAAATCTGATAAGAAGATATTCTTTTTTTTTTTAAGAAATTTAAATCCCGTTCGGAAGTCGAGGAATGTCAGTGCGATTTTCGCGGTGGATTGGTTCGAGATTGCCGAAACGGCACGGGTGTTCCAAAGTGACATTTAGCTAGGCCAAGTGCAGAATCGTGTCCGATACAGGTTTCGATCACTTCGGGGCGTGGCTGTAAACTTTTTAGTGCCCACCCGTGTATATGCTTCGAGATCACTTTGCCCTGTCGGCGTGTTCGTTCGTTCGCATCGATATATGGCTTTCCTTCCTTCTTCCTCTCTCTTTTTGTCGCTCTTTCTCTTACCGCGCGCTCCGTGTTCTCTTTCCGGTTTCCAGGGCGAGAAACACATCGAACCTACTTGCTGCCCAAATCGAGATAGAACAGCCGGCCATAAAACGTAAATGGGGTTATTGGCCCGTGCCTTTAAGTCCGGTAATAGATTTTCACTTTGCCGCGGCACCGCATTTAACACGTCGCGCCTCGCGAACTTTACTTTTTTTTCCTCACAATTCAGTCGACTCGGTCACCAATTTTATGGTCAACCTTTTCACAGAGTTACTTTTAATTATTTCGGCATCTTTTTGTGGCCAAAAAAATCTTGTCTCGCTTGTAGTTAATTATGCTTATAACGCTATTGAGTTTCACTTTGCACGGCATCGAGAGCTTCTTACTGGATTTTATTTCGCGGAAAATTGATGGCTGTAGATTATAATGACATCTTTTGTAATTGAAGTCAAAGTTCAGTTTGATAACTTCGCATCTTATAAATTAGATCTTAGTGCAGTAGGAAGATAGTCATCAGCGACTGCCAGTAGGTTTGTTTGTATGAGCCGCACGTACGTGACTATGTCTGGCACTCGGCCAGTGTAACTATCGAGCTGCGAATCGAAACAGCCGTAATTATCTGTGTTACGCGGCACCCGATAAACTTAAATGATGCGCAATTTCTTTAGAAGGTTAAATAATATTTAATTTGATTTAAATTGCACAATGTTTAATTTTTAATAATTAATTTCGTTAATTCAAGATTCTGTGCAACAAAATCATAAGACTGATCGTTTAATATTCGATTTCTTGATGTAAAAGAATGCAAATATATGGCAATACAAAATTGCATATATTTATTATTGGATTTATTTTAAAATTATTAAAATATGCCACATTAGATTTGCATATAAGCAGAAGAAGTTACATTTTGTGTTTTATATTGTCTTGTGCAATATATTTCCATCTCATAAATTTTTAATTTATTATTATTGAAGAATAAAAAAAATTTATATTATATATATTCTGAATCATGTTTATCGTATTCTGAATCGTATTATTATTCAATTATTTAATCGTTCTTTGAAAAATATTTCTACTTGACATTTGATTAACATCTTTTTACATGCATGTGCAACTGAATGCGCTCGTTAGGCTTTTTTTATTTGAAAATATAAAAAGATAATATTGAGATTTGCGAGCTCATTTCGTCTTATGCTATCAACTTCGTGAATAAGACGTCTAGCGCCATCTAGTGTAGACGCCACATGGCTTGTCGCATACGCGGTCGGCATTTTTATTCATTCAACATATGACGTTACACACGTGGCCATCGCATATTGGAGGGCGCTGGCTACGTATTTTTCCCCTCTCTCGTAATACTTCACTACGTCCGATTGTATAGCCAGTAAGTGCTGGCAGGTGCTATTTAGCTGCCTTTGCGTTCGGCTCGTTTTATTTTTGCTGCTACGGTAAGCACCCGGCTATCTGACAGTTACTTCGCCATTTGAACACTGGACTGGATATCTGCTAACGTAAGTCTCATTAAGCTTGCTAGTTTATCGATGCCCTTTAATCTGACAAGCCTTCGTTATCTAACCGCGACTGCCGTTCTCGGGGAAACCCTTGACTGCTCCGAGATTAAACATTACGCTTGACGCAGGAACTTTCACCACGAATCTCGCGAATATTTTTTCACTCGCTCGTTTGTCTGTGGCCTTGATGGTGTTGTATGTTTTTCTGCATGCTTTAACACGTTCACACTCATGATATTTTCAAACTCATATACATGCCTGTGAGATTGTCCTCTTTCGGCACACATGTGGAGCAAATGGTGTGTTGCAATAAAGTTTTATTGATTGAACAAGCAGAGTTAAAAATGATAATAATCGTTCATTATACTCTTATCGTTGCTTTATACATTTATTGTGAGAGATATGTTGTATCGAGATATGTTGAATATTAAATAAAATCAAGAATAAACATACAAAAATATTACAAAATAAAAATGATGTAAAATATATGAAAAATATATTTGTATTTACATAATGTAAAGAATAATAATATTATTTAAAAATACATGTATATGCAGAGTTGATTGTGCAATGTTTTACATTATTTATTTCATTCTCATCTCTTTTGTAAGAAAATTTTGTTTGTAATTTGTTATGTAAAATATGTATTTATATTGTATTATATTGTATGTAACATATGTTTCTGCTGCAAGAAAAAAATAACAAGTTGCATTGTCATTTTTTTTAAATAATCATGATGTCCTTACAATGTTAATATAATGTCTTGTTTATTTCAGCATTATCTTTACATGGTTGTACAATTATTAATTATATATTCATGTATTTCACTTTGAAAATCGCTCTGTTGCTTGCTTCATGTTATTAATTTTCTTTATCTTTGCAGTATCTTAATGGTAACTATGACTAATAATTTTATTCATTTGTTATACCATTTGATTTTTCATGATACCAAACTATGAAAATTTCTAACTCTTATACTTTTAAAAGCTTATTTTTTAAATTACCGCAAGAATTCATGGCTGTTTGCATGTGTTTTCATGAATTCATATAATTTTAACATTTCGCATTTTTATTAACAACATTTCTACGTGTTTGGTCTTTTCACAGCGCGGTATTGCACGCCTACGTATTTGCATGTATTTGCACGATATCATTCTTGTACATATGTTTATATTTCAATCCTGTCAGGTGACGTAAAAAGTCTGACGGATAAGGTCGAATGTGGCTTTCAATGTAAGTCAGTGATAATGTCATCGATTATCTTCTTGTAAATTTTTTTACGGAGTATTTAAATTAATTCAATTTACACTTATTGTTAATCGAGCAGCCTTGACAAATAATAAGTGATACATTAGATAGAAAATAGGAAGATACGATTACATTGACAATGTAAGTACGTTTCTCAAAGTGAGCGTTTTATTTTATATTGGAAATTTTTTCCAACTTTTGATCATTTCTCATTGTTTCGTATTTTCCTCTCGCTTCAGAAAAATGCAGTACCTACTACCACTACTTTTAGTAGTTTTAATAATACAAACGTCGGTCGCGCCGCCGGTTTCACAACAAAAAAAGGACGGAGATCATAAAGAAAACGAGGTCGATGACTCTGGAGATGCGGTAAGATACTTTTAGATTCATTTCATTTATTTCGTTTCTGTTATTTTACAGTATTATAAAAACTTGTTTGTCTCTACAGGCAAACAATTTGGAATATCACAGGTATTTGAAGGAAGTGGTGGACGCTTTGGAAAGTGACGCGGATTTTCGCGCAAAGTTAGAAAAGGCCGATGAAGCGGATATACGAGTAAGTATTATATTAGTACCTGCAAAATTATTATTATAAAATACATTGTGATTATAATATTTTTTTATTTGTGATGTCCAATGATAATTATTTTTCTTTGCGATTTTAAAATAAACTATATATTTTCATATATATATAAAATCTTTTTTATATATAAAATAAACTATATACTTTGATTAAAATCAAATATTAATATAATATTAATATTTTCAGATGTCTTTTATATGTTTCAGATTTTTGAATGTAATTTTCAATTGTAATATTTTTGTTTGCAGACGGGTAAGATAGCGCATGAACTGCAATTCGTGGATTATAAGGTTAGAACTAAGCTGGATGAATTGAAACGAGAGGAATTGGAGAGGCTGAGGCATCTAGCTACCAAGGAATACAATTTGGTAAATGGTCTGGATATGGAGCATTTGAAAATAGCGGAGCATTTGGATCACGCTAATACGAATACGTTCGAGATAGACGATTTGAAAAAATTGATCGCGAAGGTAAGACAGTTATTAGTTTTTGCGCAGCTAGTTTTTATGCAGTCTATCTCATTCGATAAAAATATATACATTGAACCATGCATTAATAATCGTTATTAATATATGCAGACCACGAAGGACTTGGCAGAGGCTGATAAGCGAAGACGTCAGGAGTTCAAGGAGTACGAGATGGAGAAAAAGTTCGAGGAAGAGCAAAAGATGAAGGGTAATACTGGTAATAGAACATAACTCTTCGGTGCTTACTCATCATACAATATATATATATGTATATATGTATAATAGTGTATTAATCATCACACTTTTTGATTTAACCAATTTTATTTTGGAAGGCTTGAAGGAGGAAGAGAGGAAGAAATACGAGGAGGAGTTAGAATCGATGAAAAAAAAACATAAAGATCACAAACCTGTAAGTTGGAATGCAGTTATGGATATAAATAGTCTTTTCCTTTGCTGATAAACAATACATATTTCTGCAGTTGCATCATCCTGGCAGCAAGCAACAATTGGAAGAAGTGTGGGAGAAACAAGATCATATGGAGAATCAAGAATTTAATCCCAAAACATTCTTCTACCTTCATGGTAATTATTATCGTAATTAACATTACAGTGATTCTCTTAGCATTACGTTTGGAAATTAGAGTTCAGATAAGTTTATTTTCTATATTTATAAATTCAGATTTGGACGGCAATGGTTTCTGGGATCAGGATGAAGTTAAGGCTTTGTTCCTGAAAGAATTAGATAAACTTTATACCAATGGCGCCCCCGAAGACGATATCTACGAGAGGCGCGAAGAAATGGAAAGAATGAGAGAGCATGTGTTTAACGAGGCTGATCTTAATCACGACGGTCTCATTAGGTATACAAATCAAAATTCACATTCGGAATTACATTAATGTATTATTAAAATCGTAAAAATGGTATTATTTGCGTTTTTGTTTATTGTAGTTATGAAGAATTCTTGGAACAAACAAAAAAGCCAGATTTTTCGCAAGATGAAGGATGGCAAGGACTAGATGAGCAACAGATTTATTCTCAACAGGAGTACGAAGCTTTTGAGAAACGTAGACAGGAAGAGATCCAGAAAATGATTGCCAAAGGAATGGTGAGCGTGATTAATCGTTAATTGTTGTGCGTGGTTTTGAGTGCACATAAAAATGAGTAGAAAAATTGTTGTGTGTCGCAGTAATTGCTACAAGATTTAATCCCCGCATATGCCGAGTGATTTCATTTTATATATTATTTTTATACAGGTTTGAGCGTTACTTAAATTTTCTTCCTCGCTTCAGTATACACTTCTTCGACAGCATGTACGAGCTAAAATTATAGTGTCTTACTCTTTTGTTTCTCTAATCGAGTAGATCGTTTTTGTAGACGTAATTACGCACTACCGTAATTACTAGCACGATAAGCATACTTGACATACTTGATACGACTCGTTCGACAAACTTGTGTAGGCGTTATCGCTGTCGCTTCGAAAGACGTGTCGTCCGTAGTGATTAGAATAATTAACTTAGCTTGTGCACTTTTTGTTGTTGTTGTTAGTTACCACCACCCCCTGAAACTGCACATCTACCTGTTCAACAGAACGAGGTGAGTAACTGCAAAACTGTGAAGCATTTTGCAAACTCCTTAGCAAACTTGATATTATTTGTTTTTAACGCATCGTTTTGTTTCACAGTTCCCATCGTACCAGCAACAGTTACCGCCTCAGCAGTACCATCCTTCGCAGTATCCGGGACAGGTACCGCCGCAACCGATGGTAGGTCAAGCACCGCCACCGCAATATCAGGGTCAGGTGCCGCAACAGCAACCCTATCAGCAGCCTCAAGTTCCGCCGCAGCAACATTATCCAGGCCAGATTCCACAGCAGCAACAATACCAAGCACAGCAGGCGCAGTATCAAGTGCCAGTACCGCAGCAGCAGCAGCAGCAGCAGCAATTCCAGGCTCAACAGGTTCAGCCGCAATTCCAGGGTCAACCTCAGCAGGCTCAACAACATTACCAGGGACAGCCACCTCATCAAATACATCAACAAACGCAACAACAAAATCAAGTGCCACAGAATACTCAGGTTAACGCTCCGTCGAACGATCAGGGAGCTGTGCAAGGCAGCCAGAATCTTCCACAGCAACCAGATCCGAAATCCATTCATCAAGAACTCCATCAGAATAGTATACCAAAAATGCAGAAGGTCTAGATAATACAAAATATCGATCGAATAGTTGATATAAACGTTTTTAGTTTGTCTCTTTGCAAAGCGTGAACAGCGTGAAAAGCGTGAAGCGGAAAAAAAATATCAGTTCAATAGTTTTCGAATTCAAGAGGTTACATGAGATCTTCAGGAATTTTCATTTCAGGAAAGTATAATTTTTTCACACTATTCATGTGTTCTAAAAATTTTTAATTGGAAATATTAATGCGATACTAGTTGCAATACTAATGTTACAATTATTTATATTATTTCAAGTTATCAAATTTGCTATTTTGAATATGCTGTTCAAAGATTTTTAGACGATGAAATGTATTAAACAAATTCGTTTGAAGGATTTGTAGTAAACTTACCAAAATTAATCAATCTTTTTCAGGGAAGATTGTTTTTATTAGATACTCGATAAATAGAAATTATTTATATTGTATAAATGCTTGCTGAATTGTTTATGGAATAAATGTTTTCTGAAAAAGGACTATCCATCAGAGCTCCAACATTTCCTTGCGTAAACCGATTAAGGCCCAGACAACGATTAAGTTCCCTTGTTGAGTGAAAACCAAGTTTCTTAATGATAACTGATTTTTATGGCAAAATTCTGATGAAAGTTCTGCTGACAAGTAGACAATTTAGGAAAAATAGGATAAAAAGCAATATTGAGGGAGGGATAAATTTACAGAAAGAGACGCATTATTCGTTTCTCATATTTATTTGTTATTGCATACTGTTTATGTTAGTATATTACTTAGGTATACGTGCCAAGTAGCAACTTAAATGTATGATTGCGTGATTCATCTGTTTGTTCCACCCGTCAAGCGCGCGGATAGGTAGGTAGGTAGGTAATGTAACTTGCTTACTCCACTATATATAGGGTGTATTTATAAGTATAGCATACCTCGGTAGAACGTCATCTTACGAGCTAATCGGTAATAAATAAAAGTTGGGCTCGGGGCCGAGTCTGGGAGGGGCGGGATGGGGAAGGGAGAAATCTGAGGGGGAAACGCGTTTAATAATGGGCTAACGATTTTGCGTTTCTGCGTCCGTGACTAAAACAAATCGCGCGCGAAGCAGCACGTCTTCGCGCGTTTTTCTTTTTTTTTTTTTCTTTTTCTTTTTCGAAGTAAATCGGGAACGAACGTCGTTTCACGAGTCGTCGTCACGGCTACATCTCGCGCGCGTTATCACGCGTTGTTTTATAATCTATCGGTACGGGCGACTTATCCAACAAATTGGGCTACCTACTGAAAAGAAATACTTGCCTGTATGTGCTTTTTCTCAGTTTTTCTTAAAGGCGGAAAGTAAAACGATAGTAACTATATAAAATATTGCCGTTCGCCATTGTCGTCGCACACGACGAGTGCGACGAGCGCGCTTATAATTGATTGTAACGATTCCGCTTGCACTGTCTCGATTGAATCATCCACGACAGGTTTTCAATATTCCGTGCGGCGAATACGAGAAATAAATTCCTAGATCATTAACATAATATAATAATTGTTTACTAAAAAAATACGCATTTTCTCCAATAAACTTTTAAATTATACTCTTAAGAAGATCTATATTAGAAATTTGTCATTTTAAATAAATCTCTTAATTATAATAATAAATAAGACATTTATTAAAGATTTGTCATTTCTAATAAATTTTTAAATCATAATTAACTTAAATATCTTAAACTCTTAAGTAGCTCTAACAGATCTCTCGTATTCATCGTACAAATATTCAGAAAACAGCTTGTATTGCATTAAAAGCAGAATTGCTAAAACGCGCGATCGTAACATGAGACTCTGACGTTTATGATAATACAAGAAAACGTATGTCTGTTCAAAAAATTATGAAAAAAATTCTGGTAGCAGCGAAATACTTCAAAATAAATTTAAATCAATCCGATTCTCTAAATTCTGCAAACGTCGCGCGCTTTCTCTTTGCAACTGAATCGAGGCAATGCCGAAGAGGTCTGAGAGCTCGCCGACCACTCGGGCAATTGTGAAAAAACACTTTCGGAAAAGAAAGAAATCACTTTCCTCTTCGAAAGAAATCCGAGTGCGGCTCGCTCCGTGCCCTCCGACGAGCGGAAGGAAATAAAATCCGGATCTTAGGCTACTTAAAGGGGAATCTCAACGAGAATTCCTCGCGAAATAAATATGTTACATGTTACAATGATAACGATGAACCTTGCCGTACATGCTGCTCGTCCTCTATTTACAGTAAAGACAAACAATCTCGTTCTCTCGGCTTCTTGGAGAGTGTGAATGTACATGTGTGTCGCGTGTCTGTACCCTCTTTGCTGCGTTTCCCTTCGTGTATGTATATGTATGTGTATACAATATGTGTTACTCGGGCTCGTGTGCGATTAAATAACCGGGTTCGGAAAAGTGTGCGATCCTATTGCTCGACTAATAGTTCTCGCGAAATAAAAAAATGCCACATCTAAGTTGTTCCTTAAATGTTAACTATAGTAGAGAAAACGGAAAAACCGCGCGGCGTGTGTACCCTCACGCGGCCCCGACGACGCGCGTCGTGTGGGAGAATCGGACAATCGCACAATCGCGCGGCCCGTGCGATTCCAAATAATTCAGGCGCGATCGCGTCGGCTTGAGCTATTTCACGGGAAACGCCGTCGTCGGCCGCGCGTTCTGTAAACTAGTCGTAAATCGTGTGTACGGAGACTACTTATGCTCTGTTTATAATCGGCTGTCGCTGTTCGCTGTGCAACTCGCTTTCTCGCAGCTTTATTTTTTTTTTTCCTTACCACTCAATACCGCGGCAATAACGACGATCAAAGGAAAGATTTTACACGTGCGTGGAACGAAAGCTCTCGCCGATCGATTTCTGCATGCGTGTGATCTGAAACCGCCGGATCGCCTGTCCCGCGTTATCGATAGTCTCACTCTAGATATTTTTAGCTGCTAAATTTTTTTACGTTTTAAAATATATATATCTGTTTAATTTTAATTACTTAATTATACGGACAAAAGTATTATAAAATTTATGAAATTAGATTTCGATTTAGTGCAAAGCCTGCGGCGTGATTTGCTGAAGTGGAAGAAAAGTAAAATGTGCAGTCGGTGCGTCTATCGATAAACGGGATACGCGTCCGCAAGTTGAAACAGAATTGGCTCTAAGGTAGCGCCAGAGTCACGCACGTTTATTCTTTTTTGTCGGCCCGATAAAAATCCTACGAGCTACTTTGTCTTCTCGACTCTAAAGCCATCAGCCTTTAGTTCGCCTAGCGCAAAACTCTGCCCGTGAACTTTTGTTTCGTCCTCGACGACGTTCGGAAAAAAGAACCGCGGCCTCTTGTTTTTTTTTATCTCGCTTCATCTCTCTCACTCTCGCTCTCTCTCTCTTTCTCTCTTTCGCAATAAACGCACTCAGCCTCAGTATAATCCTACAGCGTCAATATATCAATTTTTATTTATATATATTTATATATATATAATATACTTTTTTTCTCATATATATATTCACTTTGTGTTCTATATCAATAATAGCGTATTAGATGCTTTTTTTGTTCACTTACGTCTTAGGTATGTAATATAGGTATTCTTTTTTTCACCATCTGTTCACAGATACATATATGTATATATCAAAATGTGGAAACGAAAGGGTCCTCTCGAAATAGCCGTTCTCCGTTCTGTCGGTCAGCTGTTCCTCTTTCATTTTTTTACGCTCTTTCCCCCTATCTCTAAAGTACGTTCGACTTTATTTGCTTTGCCGGGAAACCAAAAAGGAAAACATCTCGAGAATATGCCATTCAGGGTATTACCTGTGTGGATTGATCCAAAACACAAATTTTGTCGGGTAGTTTGTTGCTTCGGACATTCATTCTGACACGCACACCGAGTTCGTATATACATTGCGTATTCGACATGTAGGACAGTTCGTCGGTTAACCAAGTATAATTAAAAGTTTATCGCGAGTTTGCCATTTTTGAGAAACTTCAAGGAGCGAATATTTTGGCGGGCAATTTGAGAATAATCCAAAAATTTGCACATTGAAAAGGTGAAGATTTGCATATCGACATCAAAGCGTGATATTACACACGTCACAGATTTGATTTATTTAAAGATAAAAATAATCAACAGAAGTATCGATTCAAGGAGAACGGAGCGAGTCGGTATTACGCAACGCATCTACAAACATGATCTCACGTAATAATGCATTCAGCAGAATTTCGAATGACTTTTCTCGTCGCTTAGTCAAGTGGTCACGGTCTACGGGACACTTAAAATTTTTTTTTGGAAGGCACTTACTACTTTTTTCTTTTTATACAATATTTAAATTTTAAACTCTTCCGCATTCGCTCTCTCTTCCCCACGCTCTCGCGACCTCTCTTTCTCTCCTTTCTTTCTCTCTCTCTTTCTCTCTCTCTCTCTTTCTCTCTCGCATCTGAATTTTTCGCGACTCGGGCTGCGCGTCTCCACTAAATTTTACCCCGCCGTTCGCGTAACCCTTCTTTATTTTTTGTTTTGCCGCCGCACGTCTCGCGCGAATTTACGTTTGAACACATTATGCCTAAATGGTAAATAGAATTCGCACTTTCCGATTCTCGCCGAAATGAAAAACGTGGTCGATCGAAATATCGCAACGCGTATACTAATAACTCGCCGTTCACATCGCCTCGCGACGCCGTCGTATTTTCGCACAAAAAATCGCTTGTATCAAGAATAACGTATTACATTTTTTTTTTATTTTTGGCATGCCCGATGTTTCGTTTTCTAATCGCCCCGATACGTGCTACGAACGCGCGATCCTCTTTTCCCTTCCCTTCTTCCGTTTTCTTTTTTTTTTTATTAGAAATCTCCTGGCTGCATGAGCGTGGCGCGAGAATCAATTTTTTTCCTTCAACGATTTTTTTACCCTCTCTTCCGTAAAGTTTCCCAGACAAACGGATAACACGGATGGCTCATTTCGCCAAAAGCCTCATACGAGCAAAAGCGAAAAGCGATGATCTTTCCCTTTCACCGAAGGCCACTTCGAATTTTTTTTTGTTTACTTTTTACACTTACAAGGAGTCTCTTTCTCTCTCATTCTTTCATACTCTTTCTTTCTCTCACTTTCACACACACATACACGCTCTCTTTCTCTCTCTCTCTTCCGAACCAGCGTGTCGACATTTAGAATCCCCAGAAAATTCGTTTTTGCAACAGATATATTTAGGATTAATATGAAAAATATCCCGCTCATTTATAGTAACGTTGATCAAATAAGAATCTCCATATTAACAGGATTGAAAGGTGATACTTGACGATAATCAAGTATGAAGTTTTAGAACCGAATTTAGCACAGACGATCAGTTACAAAATTCGGCAAATTCTACTTATCCATAATTTTGCTCGGTATTAAAATACTTTACTTTAACTGGTCGGCACGACTCGTTCTTCGATTGTCGAAGGACCCGGGGTCCCTTCGCGGAATCACGCGCGACGTGTAAAATTTTGAAAAATAGCACGATCTTTCAAAAAAAGAGCATGCACCACACTGAGGGCTTTCCCCAGTCCACCCGCTCTGCCATTTATACTATCGCGTTCGCACTCACATTCAGGCTCGCATTCAGGCTCGTATTCAGGTTCGCAATCTCGCACCGATACACGCATTCGTGGTCGCCGAACTCACCGAAATTTCGACACGGTCGTCGTGTCGAGCCACAGTTTCTCGTCCCCTAATCCCTAAACCTTATAATTTTTATACTTGGCATACCCCAAATATGGCAGGAAGGCAATCATTATACTTAATAACGTTACAGCGATCATCTCGGCCTAGAGTGTGCTCGCTTTATAAGCCGTTGAATTTGTTTTCTCCATCTCTAAATACTTTGTCGTACCTTTTTCCCTCTTTCGCTTTTTCTCTCTTTCACTAATTTTTTTTTCTTTTTGCTCGTTTGCTTGCTTGGTAGACAGTCATAATGAATTTTGTACATCTCCCTTACTTATCGAGCTTAGATCGGTGATGTCGCTTACTGCCTGGCGTTAAAAAGATAACGCTCTTGCACAAAGTGTCGCGGACAAAAATTGAGATTTCCCGTTTCATTGTAAGAGAGATTCATAGTAAAATTTACCGCGCGCAAGATGCTCTTGCTTTCATTACTATTAAGATACTTGATGTACTTGGCTTTTCAAAGCAATTTACCTATCCGGAGCGCTTAACTTAAAACCAGATCTATTTTTTAAAAACAACACTTTGTTCTCAAAATAATTTACAGGAATAGAAAAAAATATAGATTTACAAATTCTATAATCTATTACTTTCACAATACTGTTAATAAAGTTTTACTTTCTTAACATAATTCAAAGCGAATTCTTGCGATAACTAAAAATCACAATGTACAAACTGATCCATGACACGTTGTGTAAGGATAGTATAATGTATAAGTCCTGTTCGAGGCGGCTTACTTTCTCGTCGATACTCCGTCTCGAGTAATCCATCATTCGGCAGTAGGCGACTCCTTACGAGTTATTATACATTTGGCATTAAAAGTACAGTTATCGTATATGCGTAGGTATAAATTTCGAGTATGTACCTTGTGTGTGACCGTGTATTTGTGTGTGTATGTATGTACGTCCATACGTGTGTGCTTCGTGTGGAAGTGTGACGTGTAGGTTTTTACCTTTATTACATGTACATAGTCTGTACGACACGACGATGACACGACTATCTAGATTGGAAAAAGGTGGCGCGGCGCGCTCGCGAGGCGCCGGCGACCCAATAGCTATAGTACGTTTGCTAGAAGAAGGTGTTACTCTCTTTTTCGTCTCTCTGCGTTTCTTCTTCCCTGCTGCCGAAGGATCGATCGAACGATCCCTCATCTAGGACGAGCCGCTATCGCTCGATCGTCCTTCCCCGAAGCTGAGCCAGGCGAGAAATTCTCGACGCTCGCTTGTCGTCTCCTTCACACTCTGTGTGTCTCTGTCAATTTTTTTTTATTTCTTTTGATTGTAAGCCTCTCTCTCTCTTCTCTCTCTCTCTTCTCTCTCTCTCTCTCTCTCTCTCTCTCTCTCTCTCTCGAACATCCCTCTAACATACTCGTATGCACAGTACGTCGCGCTCGCGTACAATGTTCAGAATCGCGTGTATGCGGTTATATACTATAAACTGCCGCAAGGAGGTGAGGTGTCGCGAATCAGACGAAGGTCGAATTTCCGCGGGAAGCGTCGAAGCCGACCCTCTTGCCTACCGATCGGTAGGCCTGACAATCTCGAAGAGAGAGGTCCTCGTCAGGATCATCGGCGCTCCTCGTCCTGCCACCTCGGCCTGCGGCGATCCTGCAGAGGCAACGGCGTCGTACCTCCTCCTCGTTTCGCGACAGCCACCGTGGATGGCTTACTATTCGCAGCGTGAATCCGTGAGCGGCTCGAGCTTCACCGGGATCTTGTCCTTGTCCTTGAGACCGTGGGGACTCTTCACCAGGTCGGCGATGTCCTCCTGGAAGAGAGTCTCCGGGCGCGGACTGACGAAGCTCCGCGCCGGCTTGTACGTCATGCCGCTCACGCCGATGCCGACCTCCACGCTGCTGGGTATATGGCCCGCCGGATCCATCAGCGGGCCCAGCGGGCTCGCTAGGGGACTCTCCATCGGGCTCTCGGGCGGGCCGCCCGAGCCTGGGCTCGCCAGGCCGAGATTCAACGGGGAATTGCCGTTGTTGTTGCCACCGGCGCTGCCGGCAAGACTCGCATTACTGCCGCTCGTGTTGTTGTTGTTGTGATGCTGGCTCGCCTGCATTGCCGCCTGCAGGTTCGACGATAGGTTGGTGGACAGGCTCGTCGATAGATTCGTCGCCATCATATCGTGCTGTTGCGAGTGTGCCGCCGCTACCATACTGCACATTTGGTGTCGTAGACCTGGTGGATCATTAGGATGATATAGAGCTTGAAATTTTCATAGGTTTATAATAGCTTCCTTGTCTAAAAATTGACTAGAAGTTGATTTTCTTTAGGATACTCAGAGTCTTCTTCAAAAATTTTTAGAATTCTTCATATATTTGAAAACCTGTAGCGATTAAATGCAAACAGGAATTTGTAGTGATTTGTTTATCCACTTCCGATATATAAAATTCATAGAAATTTGTTTATTTTGCTTAAGATTGATTTGAATCGTAATATTTTCCCCGTGGAATTTTTGAGATGCTAATTCTTGACGTCCAGAACTCTTAAGAAAATAATTTAAGAAAAAAAGAAACTTTTAATCGTTTAGAAACTTTCCAAGTGTGAATTAAAAGAAATAGCCGAAACTTTATAATTTTTAATCTCCATTTTGAATACGATTGCATTTTATATGAAACGAATATCTCAACTTCTCTAAGTAAAGTTACAATTGCTGTTCTTGAAAAAATTCAAGAAAGAGAGAAAAAAGGAGATCGCGCTGTTACCTTGAGCGACCGCTGCGACCGCGGCTGCGGCCGCCGCACCCGGGCTGACCGCACCTTCCGGACCGTTGCAGGCGTAGTTCGCCAGGCTGGGGTACATGGTGGTCGGCTCCTCCTTGACGATGTGGGGTGAGTGCCCGTCGCGGAATACCACCGCGCGAATCACACCGCGGATGTGCTCGTCCGGCCAGACGCCCAGCAGGATCCTCTGCGGTCGTCCTCTCCCCTTCGGGCGCAAATCTACAGGTGGACGGGATGATAGGGGTTGGAGAAAAGGGACGAAGAAGAAAAATACATTTCACTGCAAATTGGTTCTAAGATTGTGCGTCCGCCGTGATTACCCGTCTTTTATACATTTTCCGCGCGCGTGCCTCCGCAATCGCTGATGACTGCGAAATTTCCGGCAGCATTTGAACTGGCATTCGGTATCGAATAAGTATTTCGAAAATACGCGGACAAAATCGCCGACAAGGGGTTTTTAGATTTTATCAATGAATAAATTTCTCGCGCGAAACAAAATGACTCGAACACTAAACCGAAACGCGAGTTAAAGCGGAGATAATTGTTAAGGAAGATTTTACAATTGACCATTAACTGAATAATTGATAAAAGTATGTTTTAACGATGGGATAGGTCAATGTACCGGGTGTGACATGCTAATAAAGCGGTAGATGCGTAGCTAATTGTAAACGTTACAGTCAAGTTCTAGCTCGGCCGTAACGCGCCGATGTAATTGCACGATGTAATTACGGCTTTTACGAGCGTAACTGAGTCTTTAGACTATTCTTCCTCTGACCGGCCGTCGCTTAACTATTTACAATTGGCCACGCGGTCGCGGTCCATCAGGCAAGTTCTCTGCGCAGCTAACTAGGGTCCTGAGAACGCCTTGGGGATGACGATCGAACGTTAAATTCAAGAGTTAGGCGCATGGCGAATTTTAGATTTGTGTTCAAATCCCGAAAGTTTAGATTTATAGAAGAAAATAGGAAAAATGACGAAATCTCTTTTATTCTGGGAAGCGAATATACGTGAATCTTTTTTATTTTATTTTCCAGGCAAAATGTAAATTCGAAAATGTTTCTAAAATGTGCCACTTATAAGTCTCGATATTCTCGACGTTAATAACCCCGCTCGCTGTCTTAAAATCTCGATCTAATGTCCGCATTAATCTCGTCCTTATCATCGAGAAATAATACATTATAATTGAGCAACGGAGGCGTTCTCAGAGGAATACTGAATACTGAAAATGGTAACTAACTCACCGGCCCCGCCGTCGGCGCTAGGACCCAGCATGTTGTGCACGCGATTCGCGTACAGGACGAACGTCGGGTAGGGGATGTCGTATTTTCTGAAAGGCAGAAACGAGATACATACATTAATTCGCAGCTTTCTTTCCTTCATTATATTTCAGCTTACATCGCATTATATTTCTCATTTTCCTTTACGTCATTTTATTTCGTTTAACCTCGTTTTAATATTACTTCGTTTTATCTTTATCCCATTTCATCTCATTTCACTTTAATTTATATTAATTTTACCATACCGATGGGATGAAAGATTCAACCAAACGTATTTGAATGCATAGCGATGGAAATTATGCAATCTCTCGAAATTATGCAACCGCGTGGGGAATACTAGCGATGACACTGGTGCGTTTAACAAAATAATATACGGCACTCCTCGCAAGAAATTCACTAGAAATTCACTCGTCTTATATTTCATCATTACTCGTGCGATTGTTGTTATATTTGATTGTTTTACTTACTCGCAAGCTAAAATATTAACCAAGTTAACGACTTCGATCGCGAAAGACAGATATTCATATCAAATAGAAAATTATAGAGCGTTATTTATAGTAGTGATATTACAGCGGAAAGTATTAGGCGTGTTATCGATCGTCGAATCGATTATCATAAAAATTATCGCGGCTCGTAAAGCCGTGCTTTATCGAGTCGCTTTGTACGCGAATTAAAAGAAATCCCTTTAACGACGAGTCGACATTGTTACGCAAATGTGATACAGACTTTACGACGCCCGCGCAAACGATTTTCAAGCAGCAGCAGCAGCAGCAGCAGCAGCAGTTGCTTTGAGTAGCAGCAGATCAGACGATTATTTAGCATGATTCAGGCGCGGCGATAAGGTATGCCTGATGCAGTAATTTCCAGGAATTTTTCATTGCGTAATAACTCGACTCTATTGTACGCGCCTCGCATCATAAGACATTTATATAACAATATTAACTATTTACTCGCTACATTGCGTGAGTTGCCGCACGGAGGAAACAACGGCGGTATAAACTCGCATAAAGTATTTATCTTTCGCGTATCATTTATTAACGTTGCAAGAACACGCCGACCTGTCGGGGCGAACTCTTGGAATAAATAATTAAAATAACTCTTCATTTTTTTTATATTAACGCATTTCATCGCATTAATGTCGAATGTCGCGCGCACAAGTTTTATGCAACTGCGCGGTGTCTATTATTAATTTTATTATTGGTTCCGTTATACACGCGACGGATATAATATATAAATCGTATACAGAAAATGATTGCAACCGAATTTATTATTTCTGCGTTGGAGGCATTAATACACGTCGGAGGCAATATTTTTTTTTAAATTAACGTGTTTTATACCGGTCAATATATAAATATATTATACGCAATACACGCCGAAAAAGCGCAATTAAATAACATAAATAATTTTTTACAAATCATATTGAAAACGTTCGAGTATTTTTAAAATTAATATGCAGTATCGATTTATATTAATATTACACGGGACACGCGGGCTCTATCCTATTTTCATCGCAGTATTTTTTTTAATAAATCATGTCTCGCAGTCGATTTTTTTCCTCAACAAAAATGTCCAAATATCTCTTATGTTTTAATAATTAACGATCGAAGATCGGCTTTTGCAATCAAAATATTAATTAAACATATTTTTATTTATATTATTATTTTGAATATGAAACAATATATTGAAATTACTAAGCGTGTAAGATTGTTGAGAACGTACCTTGCCGCTTGACTGAGAGAAAGTCCTTCCTTCAGCACGCTAAAGATCGCCTCTGCCATTGTTTCAGGTCGCCAGGACTTGAGGGGTCCGCGTTCCCGGAAGCGCAGATTGTGCACCAGGCTCTGGTTGGTGTTCCAGCACTTCTGCCACATGGACTGCAGTTGATACTGGTAGCTGTCTGCTAGTTAACGCCCCCCGTGAAAAGAAAAAACACAGAAAGGCAGCTATTAGTCAAAGGTGATCAATCAGGTTAGGAGTTGGGGGAGAGGTTTAGGGTGAATAAATATCCTTCTTATTGCATGACTTTTTTATTAATCGACCGTTTATCGCGCGCAAACCCTCGAAAAAAAACCTTCACTCTCGCGCGCGATCGATCGCGCGATCAAAACGAGGGGGAATCGTCTCGATTCCACGATGTGCAATTTTTACGCTGAATCGATACGCGCGGTCTTGATGCACGCAGGTGCATCTACGGTTTATACCTTGAGCGTGGGCGGAGCTGGAAAACGGCGCTTAAGGAAGACAGGTGTGTGTATTTGTATATGCGTGCGCGCGTGTGCACGTGTGTGAACAGGTTGGCGAAGTAAGTCTTAGGAATTACGTCTTTCTAGGTGAAACGCAAATATCGACTATATTGCCGTCGTCATACAATCGTTACAGAGTGTTATAAAATCGTCGCTTAACGAAACAAGCGTATCGCGTATTAGCGTTAACGTGTGTTACGTTAATGTCACTTAACGTTATCTAACATCAACAATTAAACGTGAACAAATGATTATTGCGACGCGAAAACTCTCGAGAGCTACAGTGGATATTCTAAACACATCTTAAAGTAGGAAATCGGAACACTTAAAAATACGTTTCGCATCGGTTTTAATAACGAATATCCTGTATATAATTATCGTTGATTAGCGGAATTTATAATTACATACAAAGTAACTTGAGCTCTTTATTGGTATCGTCGTAAGAAAATAAAATTGAAATTAATCATTTCCAATAAATTCCATTTCACGCTAAACATTTGATTTTTTAAATTACAAGTAGAAGACAAAAAAATTATGCAATTTTAATCACTGTCATTAATTTCTTTAATTTTATGATTGCTTTATTTTAATTTTAATATAATGGCATCGGAATGCCACAAGTTAGGATTCTTGCAATACAGAGTATACGTTACTTTTTTACCACACTCTTGATTTATCACATACTGTCAATGCATTGAGAGTTTCCTCGGTAGAGTATTTTTCAACGTTGCATGCGGACAAATTTGTCAAGAAGATATCTTACGGAATCAATCTAATAAAATTTATGACGTAAAAAGAGCGGTGAAACTAACGAGGTGACGAGCGAAAGAAATGTCCGGCGGCGGCGACGTTTACAGTAACTTCCGTCGCTCGCGTATGGCACGTATGGCCGGCCTCAATTCGCAACGATTATTTAATAGTTAAGTTATTGGCTCTAATTAAGCCTCCTGACCAATTTGACGATTAATACAATTCATTGGAAAACGCGCGCGCGGCTATTCCGTCTATTCTTAGACCCGCATTCTTGCGGCGCATTCAAGCGCTAAATCCTCGTCTCATGTTATACATCGTTCGAATACTCAGGGAGAACTCGCGGTCGAAATTACGCTATATTTGGCGCCGATTACGACGCCGGAGTGCGACGAGAATGCGGATCTCGGAACTTCCGATGTCACGATTAATTTTATATTTGTTTTATCTTGCATTTTATTTTATCTAAAAAGGCACTAAGTACATTTTTCTCGTTTTCGAGCTACGAGCGGAGTTACGATAAAGGCTCTTTGTTCTACGACAGACATCTCCCGGACGATTTTTCATACGGAACTTACAGCTTTTATATCGCGTCCCTCACGGCATTGCGTTCCGTTCGGAATCTAATCTGGCTTCATCGAAGCGCCATAGGGAAATCATCCTTCCTACCGAGAGAACGACTCGCGGATTTCGCGGGATTACACTTTGTGCGCGATGTGATTATCTCCACGCGAGGGTAGCACCATTGTAACGCGACCGGTTTTACGGCCGCTCGCGAGATATCGTCCCTTACTCTCGATATTTTATCGGAGAATGTCGTATACGCCTATTTTAATACCGCTCATTCACACTTAATTTTCTCTCCTCGCACCATCTTTCTCTCTTTCCCGTTCGCAAAAGCACACTTCGCCGCAGTCGGCGTGTCGCACTCTTAGCGGACGCACGATAACGACGGTGTAATGTTACATCGTTCTCGCCAGGATTCAATTAACGCGCCGCTCGTAAATACGCGAGCTGTAAGTCGCCCCCGAGGGGCGACGATCGACGATAATGTGACGCGAGAAGTACGCCAGCGCGTCGCCGAAGAGAGAAGCGCGTCGCTTTCAACGAGCTCGCGAGAACGATGATGTAGAAGACCTCGCGCGACGGGCCACCTTTGGACAATCGATCGATGTATCGCGGAATGTTTAATACAGCGTCGATATATACACGCTATTTTTGCTTTTATCACGACAACATTGGAATGTTTTGGCAATGGAACTTTTCCAACGACTTATCTTAAAATCTGGCTCGTGTCTTTATCGAGCTGCGGGGAGCAAGCGGCATTATATCTTTCTGAGAGACCGATCGACCAACTCTCGACGTTAATTGCCGCGTGTTGATCGATAATTGCTGGATATTAGTCGCTTATTGCCCGCGATACTCGACGCGAGTACACGTCGCAGTCGATAATTGCCGCAAAAAGTCAGCCGTCTAAAGCGTACCCTATTAACGTCGTCCGCCCTGTTCTTCGCTCGCGTAATTGAGTCGTTTTTTTCTCCTCGCCCCTCCCCCTGCGCAACGCGAGTACACCGATGGAAGTATCGCGCTCTCTCAGTCCTGCGACACGCTTCGGCGTGGAAGTAATCTAATATCATTCGTCGCGTCGTCACTCTCAAGTATTATCATTATGCGCTATGGAATGGAAATCATTCACGAACGGAGAACTAAATGCGTAAGGAAGGAACACCTTGTTTTAGCATGAGATATTTGGAGGCAACGCGATCAAATCATTTTAAATGGCCTACGTATCGAGATACGTACCGCAGCTTGTGATTAAAGCAAATTTGAGTTTAATTGCAAGCAAGGATTATGCGTATTCATAAAAAAAACATGCAAAGTCGCTGTATGTTATTTTTATGAATAAATATAAGCCAAATGATAATCTGCTGTTATCAAGATTTAACACTTAAGTCGCGTGCGGCGCGAATCGTGTTGATATATTTAGATGTAGCTTTTATATATACTTCGCTTGCTTTGCTCCACTTTCATTGCATTTATCTAGGAATATTTCTTCGCGCATACATTACGTTTATATTATTTATGCTCGCCGTTAAATAACCGGCATCGCGTATAGCCGCACGGCTTGCTTAAGTTTTAAATAATGCTCACGATGCACAAGACATTTGTGCAACTTCATTAAATATTATCGCATCGCTAAATCAACTTTCATAAGTATGTGACATACTTCCTTCACCCATTTGCTCGCCACATTCATAAATCATTTTTCTAATCTTCCTCCAACTTTAACTATGCGTTGCCTTAACAAGAGAAGAGATATGTGCGCGTTTCACAAATGCAATTATCCATTAATTGGGTTTTGGAATGTGTGTTAACAAAAATGCGCATATTTTTACGCAGCAAACGCTTCTTGTTTTCTTAATGCTAGAAACAATTATCTTGCTATAATTAATGTCGGTAGCAAAAAAATATGAGTTGAACGTGCGTCACATGGCAACGTTAATAACTTAAACATTTCTTTGCTAATAGTAAAATTCGTAGAAAAAGTACCTAATTGCGACGCCATCGTGAGCAATGATCTCACAATCAGTGGCGATTTGGTCCCGCTGACTCGAGATATACATGGTAGTTGAAAAATATGTACAAAATATATGCGAAAAAATTTGCATATCTCGGTCTTGTATTAACATTATGTGGAAGACGGAGATGCATGGAAGGCACTAAATTCATTACACGCTAGATTATAATTACGAGTATGATTTAGGAGAACGCGATCCGCAGACCTCCCGAAATTAGTGACACGTTTGATCAGATTCTGCAACACTGTTTCCTTCTCAATTCGCATGAATTAAATTGTTAAAAATTATTTATTACCATAATTATGGTAATTAATGTAAAAATAAATAAACATACGATATACTTTGAAGTCATACAAATTAATTATGCTTCTAATTCGTGTTTATTAAATTACTAGAATTTCAATAATTAATAAAAGCTTTACATTTCATATATTACCGCTTGATTTTGCTTCGATCGGAAATATTTTCCACGTGCCTTTTTGGCGAGTCGAGTTATTAACAAATAAATGAATTAGTTCTCTTATTATTGCAATGTATCGTAGAAATTCTATTACTACAGAAGCGTCGGGCACCGAGGAAAA